CCCTTTGCCCACCTCCACACAACCCCCACCCCCTGTTCCTCTGGTGGTCACCACACTGTTGTCTGTATCCATGAGTTATGCATATATGTTCTTTGGCTAATCTTTTCACCTTTTTTTTAAAACTAAGTTGTTGTGGGTTTTTTGTTTTTAAATATATCTTTATTGAATTCAGAGAGAGGAAGGGAGAGGGAGAGAGAGAGATAGAAACATCAGTGATGAGAGAGTCATTGATGGGCTGCTTCCTGCATCCCCAACTGGGGATCGAGCCAACAACCCAGGCATGAACCCTGACTGGGAATTGAACCATGATCTCCTGGATCCTAGGTCGATGCTCAACCACTGAGCCACACCCAGCCAGGCTCTTCACCTTCTTCACCAAGTCGTTCCCTCATCCCCCATCTCCCTCTCCTCTGACAGCTGTCACGCTGTTCTATGTATTCATCCATGCCTCTGGTTCTTATTTGTCAGTTTATTTTGTTCAATACATTCCACATATAAGTGAGATCATATGAAACTGCTATTTCTCTCTTTGGCATATTTTACTTAGCATAATAATCTCCAGTTCCATCCATACTGTTGCAAAAGGTAAGAGTTCTTTCGTTTTTTGTAGCCACGTGGTATTCCATTGTGTAAATGTACCACAGCTTTTTTATTCACTCGTCTGCTGATTGGCACTTGGGCTGTTTACTGATGTTTAGGTACTCTTAGGATATATTCACAGAAGTGGGATTGCTGGGCAGTTCCCATTTTTAATTTTTTGAGGAAACTCCATACTGTTTTCCATAGTGGCTGTACCAGTCTGCATCCCCACCAGGAGTGCATTAGGGTTCCCTTTTCTCTACACTCCCGCCAACATTTAATGTTTGTTGATTTGTTGATGGTAGCCGTTCTGTCAGGTGTGAGGTGAGACCTCATTGTGGTTTTAATTTGCATTTCTGTGATGTCTAGTGACATTGAACATTGGCCGTCTCTATGTCCTCTTTGGAGAACTGTCTTTTCAGGCCCTTTGCCCATTTTTTAATTGGATCTTTTGTCTCCTTGGTATTGAGTTATATAAGTTGTTTATATATTTTGGAAATTAACCCCTTATCATATATCATTGACAAATATGTTCTTCCATACAGTGGGCTCTCTTTCCATTTTGTTGATGGTTTTCTTTGCCGTGCAGAAACTTTTTAGCTTGATGTAGTCCCACTTGTTTGTTTTCTCCTTTGTTTCACTTGCCAGAGGAGATGTATTGGCAAAAATATTGCTATGAGAGATGTCTGAGATTTTACTGCCTATATTTTCTTCTAGGATTTTTATGGTTTCATGACTTACATTTAAGTGTTTTGTTCATTTTGAGTTTCTTGTGTATGATGTAAGTTGGTGGTCTAGTTTTATTTTTTTGCATGTGCCTGTCCAATTTTCTCAGCACCATTTATTGAAGAGGCTCTCTTTTCTACATTGTATTTTCGTGTCTCCTTTGTCAAATATTAATTGACCAAGTGGGTATGGATTTATTTCTGGGTTCTCTGTTCTATTCTATTGGTCTCTATGCCTGTTCTTATGCCAGTACCAGGCTGTTTTGGAATAGTGGCTTTGTAGTATAATTTGATATTCGGTATTGTCATCCTTCCAACTTTGTTCTTCTTTCTCAAGATTGTTGCAGCTATTCAGGGTCTTTTTTGGTTTCATGTAAATTTTTGGAGTATTTGTTCTAGATCTGTGAAATATGCCGTTGGTATCTTAATAGGGATTTCATTGAATCTATGGATTGCTTTAGGTAGTATGGACATTTTAATGATGTTAATTCTTCCAGTCCATGAACCTCGTATATTCTTCCACTTATTTATATCTTCCTCAATTTCTTTCTTCAGTGATCCATAGTTTTCTGAGTAAAGGTCTTATTCCTAGGTACCTTATTTTTGTTGTTGCAATAATAATTGGGATTATTTTCTTAGTTTCTCTTTCTGATAATTCATTATTGGTATTTAAAAATGCCACCAATTTCTGAATATTAATTTTGTATCCTGCTACTTTGCTAAGTTCATTTATTAGATGTAGTAGTCTTTTGGTGGAGTCTTTAGGGATTTTTTTTTTTTTTTTTGCCATTGCTTTTCATTTTTGACATTGCTTTTCAGAGAGAGTGGAAGGGGGAGAGAGACGGAAGGAGGGAGGAAGAGAGAGAGAGAGGGAGAGAGAAACATCAATGTGAGAGAGACATATCGACTGGTTGCCTCCCACACACCCCCTTCCCCTGACCGGGGCTGGGGATCGAGCCTGCAACTGAGGTACATGCCTTTGGCCAGAATTGAACCCGAGACCCTTCAGTCCTCAGGCTGACGCTCTAACCACTGAGCCAAACCAGCTAGGGCTAGGGTTAGGGTTTTGTATGTACAATATCATGTCACCTGTAAATAATGAAAGTTTTACTTCCTTCTTTCCAATTTGGATGCCCTTTATTTCTTCTTTTTACCTATTGCTGTGCCTAGGACTTCCAGTACTGTGTTGAATAACAGTGGTGAAAGTGGATATCCTTGTCCTGTTCCTGATTTTAAGGAAAATGCTTTTAGTTTTTAACCCATTGTGATGTTGGCCGTAGGTTTGTCATACATGGCCTTCATTATGTTGAGGTATGATCCCTCTGTTCCCACTTTGCTGAGAGGTTTTATCATAAATGGATGCTGGATTTTATCAAATGCTTTTTCTGGAGAGAGAAACATCAATCAGCTGCCTTCTGAATGCACCCTCTGGGGATCGAGCCCACAACCTGGGCATTTGCCCTGACTGGGACTTGAACCTGCGACCTCCTGGTGCATGGGACAGTGTTCAACCACTGAGCAACACTGTCCAGGACAGGATGGTGTAATTTTTACCCTTCATTTTGTTAATGTACTATATCACATTTATTGATTTGTGAGTATTGTACCAACCTTGCATTCCTGGAATAAATTCCCCTTGATCATGGTGCATGATCTTTTCAATATATTGCTGGATTCGGTTTGCTAATATTTTGTTGAGAATTTTACTATCTGTGTTCATCAGGGACATTGGCCTATAATTTTCTTCTTTTATTGTATCTTTATTTGGTTTTGGAGTTAGAATAATGCTGGCCTCTTAAAATGAGCTTGATAGTCTTCCCTCTGCTTGAATTTTTTGGAATAGTTTGGAAAGGGTAGGGATTATTTTTTTCTTTGAATGGTTTGTAAAATTGCCTGTGAAGCCATCTGATCCAGGACTTTTGTTTGCTGGGAGTTTTTTGATTACTGCTTCAATTTCATTAGTTGTTATTGGTATATTCAGCTTTTCTGATTCTTCCTGATTCCAGTTTTGAAGATTGTATGTTTCCAGGAATTTATCCATTTTGCCCATGTTGTCCATTTTCTTGGCATATAGTATTTTCTTACAATCCTATGTATTTATAGTCCTCCCCCTTTTAAAATTTTTTTGTTGTTGTTAATCCTCATCTGAGGATATTTCCATTGCTTTTCAGAGAGAGTAGAAGGGAGGGAGGGAAGCAGGGGAGGATAGAGAGAGAGAGAGAAACATCGATGTGAGAGTGACACATCAACTGGTTGCCATCTGCACACGCCCCAGCCAGGGGTGGGGAGTGAACCTGTAACCGAGGTATGTACCCTTGACCGGGAATCGAACCAGTGACCCTTTGGTGTGCAGGCTGACGCTCTAACCACTGAGCAACACCAGCCAGGGCTCCAGTCCCCTTTTGCTCTATCTTGGATGGAAGCAGAAGTCTCCCCAGAACTGACAATTTCTCAAATGTTAAACATACCATACTATACAGCCCATTCATTGCACTCCAAACTACTGGTCCCAGAGAAATGAAAACATGTAGCTACACATAAACTTGAATTTGAATGTTTATAGTAGAAGTTTTATTTCTAATAGCCAAAACCTGGAAACCACCCAAATGTCCATCAGGAGGTGAACGGATAAATATTCAGTAGAATATTGAACAATAAAACATAATGAAGGATTTATACATGCCACAGTATAAAGACGTCTCAAGATCTTATGCTGAGTCAGAGAAGCCAGAACAAAAATATACATCTTTGTGATTCCATTTATAGAAAACTCAAAAAATGCAAATTAGTCTATAGATAAGAAGGAGAATTTTGGTTGTCAGGGGATGGAGATGTAAAGGACTAGTCACAAAGGAGCACAAGGAAACTTTTGGTGGAAAAGGAAATGTTTTTTGATGATTTCATATATGAACAGATGTCAGAACTTGAAAGTATATATTTTAAACGTGCAGTTTATTGTGTGACAATTATATATGTCATAAAACTGAAAGTAAATAGAAAATGAGGATTTGGACTCTACTTGGGGACCCATGTGTATAAACATTTATTAGTGTAAGTAATGGTGGTTTTTAAGATTTATATTAGTGATGATGTTTATTTTGTTGGCAATTTAAAAATACACTAACTTGATCCATACAGAAGTGTACATTACAGACCTAATGCTAGTGCTTGTTCAGTTTTGCTGTAATGAATCTGAGTATTGGTGTTAAAGAGACTGAACTGTTATCGAACCCGTGGACTGTGGTGAAAGACCCCGGGTCCTGAAAACATACTGCCTAGACACATTGCCTTGAGTTTGGCTCTCTAGCCTAACATTTTAGGGCTGTTCTGGGAGTTGTGTACTTATTCTCTAATTTTCTGGATGGTAGTGATTTTTTAAAATTCAAATTTAGTATGCAGAAAGTTTACATCTTATAAATGTTTATTTTGCTGCAGTTTTGCATGATGAATATATCCATGTCAATAGCACCCAGAACACAAAACAGTATAACCTGGTATTGGTAATTTTTCAAAATACAGATCTTTCTGGCATAATTAGATAAAATTGAACACATGCTGAATGACCATGACTAGATAATTTCCAGTTTTAAAGTTTTTGAAATTGGGATTGTATACTATACAAAAATTGTTCTGTTTATTTTTATTTGTATAAATGTAGCTTATATTTTGTTTAATCAAGATATTTCCTGTTGGCAGTGGACTCTCGAAAAATTGACCAAGAGGGAAAAATCCCAAAGGAAACATTGGAGAAACTGAAGAGCCTGGGGCTTTTTGGGATGCAAGTCCCAGAAGAATATGGTAAGTAAAGGAAGCCATCTCCTTGCTGGTTGGCTCTTAAGAAAGTGCTCTATTTTGTTCAAAAAGAGTTCTTTTTGGGAAAGGTGGTCTTTTTTTGAGGGTTTTTTTAAAATTAAATTTATTGGGGTGACAATGGTTAATATGAACATATAGGTTTCAGGTGTGGGTTTCTATGTTACAAGACCTGGATATTGCCCTGTGTGCCCACCACCCAAGGTCATATCTTCTCCGTTCACCATATATTAGGCCCCCTTCACCCCCACCCCTTTCCCTCTGGCAGCCACCACACTGCCATGTCTACAAGTTTCAGTTTTATACCCCACATATGAGAGAAATCACATGGTTTTTAGCTTTTTCTGACTATTTCACGTAGCATGATATTTTCATGGTCCATCCATGTTCTTGCAAATGGCAGTATTTCATCTTTTCTTTTGGTGAGTAGTATCCCATTGGGCACATGTCCCACATCTTCTCTACCCAGTCCTCTATCGCAGGGCACTTAGCTTGTCTCCATGTTGGCCACCGTGAATCATGCCACAGTGAATGTAGGGGTGCATATGTCTTTGCGAATACATGTTTTCAAGTTTTTCGGGTAGATACTCAGGAGAGGGATGGCTGGGTAGTATGGTAGCTCTATTAATTTTTTTGTGGAATCACCAGACTGCTTTCCATTGTGGTTTTACCAGTCTACATTAAGGGTGGCCTTTAAGTGTAGTATATCCAAGATCGAGCTGTAAAACTGCTGGAATTAATAAAAACACTTGTCATTGGCTGAATACTGGGTGGCTGGTTAGTGACTGTGTGTGGACTGGCTGGGGCTGTGGGCAGAAAGTGGCATTCTGGGCTTCTTCCTTTGAGATAGGTCCGAGACCACTGCAATAACTGTGCTTGCTGGGTCTCTGGGTGATGGAGGAGGGGATGTCGAAGGCAGACTGGCTGATTTCAGTGTCATCTCTACTGTATAGCCCTTTTTGTTCTCTGGGGCACAGGAATTGTCCCTGGAGCCACTTGCCCTTCATGTTGGAGGAATAACCGTGTGGTGAGAGTTCAGGTGCCAAGTTCCACTGGGCTTGCCTTCTCATCCTGGTGCAGAGGAGCAAGGCATATGGTGTAGGGCACAAGGTGCATCTAAAAAACACTAACTTGGTCCATAGAGAAGTGTGCATTACAGACCTAATGCTAATAAGTGTCCAGTTTTGCTATAATGACTGTGTTGGTGTTAAACAGACTGAATTGTTCTCAAACCTGTGGCCTGTGGAGGATTTTACAGGGATTCCTTTGAGCAGGCCCTTTGCCATCTGGACTGTGCACAGCATCCATGGAGCATCATAGTGATGTTTTCAGCTCCCAAGTGAAAGACCTTGCCTTTTTCCTCAGGATTCTGGGCTAATTCTGCCCTACCAGATTTGGCTGATCACTTGTTTCTTTTTTTGTGTAATCCAGAGGTGGTCATCCTAATTCTGTGGGATTTTGGGGACAAGCAAGAAGTGTATATGGGGAGAGGGATAGACAGTGTCTCAGAGAGATGGACACAGTCATATGCATGCATGAGCATGCAGACCCACACACAGTGTTTACTCTCAGGCCCCTTTGATGTAAAAGTGTGGGCTCTAGGCGCTCAGCCTTCACCCTGTACCCACTTCACTGAGCCTTTGCTAGCTGGGGCTGCTCCCAGCTTGGATCAGCTATGGGGCAGGAGTTTAGGGGAGAGTTAGTGGTACTTTAAGGGTTGGGTATATTTCATGGGTGTGAGCTGTTCATTGGGAGGTTTTTGGGCATTTTCCCAGCCGTATTTTAAATTAGGTTTACACAGCAAGTCACAGAAGCCAGGGTTTGTCTTTACCTAAGAGACCAGAGTTATACTGCCCTCCCCCTGTGCCCCAACCTGGCCAGCGACAGTGGGGGGCCTCAATGTTTGTAGAATAAGTACCCATTATACCCAGTCTGGAGCCGGTCCCGTCTAAGACATGTGAAAATTTAGGACAAATTAGTGTGATACCTAATTTCCTTGATTCTGAGGCATATTTTAATCAGGTTAAATCTTAGTTTATATGTATGTTTATTGCTTTGCTTTCAACTGTTAAATGGCCTTATCTTGTCATCTTACGAAATACCTTTCCAAATGTGTAAAAATATTACCCATTTATGTAGAAGACATAAAGTAATCAGGGCTGTTCTCCCTAGCAGTGGAATTCACAGCACAGACCTCTGCAGGGAGAAGGTACACATCCTGTTTCTTAACAGAAATCCGCAGCCTGAGTGAGGTGGGGGAGACTGCTCTCTTTCCAGATATTTGATACTTGTCGGTATTATAACTGACACGTGACAAGGGAATTATGTGCCATAACACATGGGCTGCATCAAATATTAGACTAGCAAGCAGGTAGGGGTAGAGCTGGAGAGTGGCGGTTGGTCTGTCATCCACTGGAAAACATGAGTGCTTGGAGTAAATAAATACCAGGAGAGAGCCTCTGGACAGAGCCAGGTTCATAGTAACATACATTTCCTCTTCAAGGTCATTTTTAAGTCATTTCTTGATGGATGAAAAGTACTTAATTTTTCTCCCCAACAATTTTTGTGTAAAATTGGGATACATCTTTTTACATCTGCATGTCTTATATGCCAGCATGTGTTGGGGGTGTACACATGCCTTCCTGTGTTGCTATGAAAAAGCACAACTTTCTGTCCCTTATTCTTGTTTTATGTCGTACTTTCTGGTTTGTAAATGCTCTTTCATGAGATGATAATGGTCGCATTTGGGGCATTTTCCCTCCCTTTGGGAAATTAAGACAGGAGCAACCTTATGTTCATGCCCCAAAAGTTTTGGGGACCTGTTTCCAGCCTGGAACATTCTAAAGAGTGGTTGGAAACTCCCATACAGGGAAATGGAGGCCTTTCTACCAACTGAGCCTGCATTTCCTTTCTGGTTCCCTGCGGCCACCCCAGCCTGTCCTGTCCCCGTCCTATTGACATGGTTCCTCCTGCCCTGCAGCTCTTATTCCACCGGCAGTCTCCACCTACCTGTCCCCCTTCCCCATGTGATTGCTGTCCGCATGACTTTAGTGATAACTTTCCAGGGGGGAAAGCATTGGAATTAATTTTTTTAACAAACAAAACTGACTCCCTCAGTATATGAAATAAGTAAAAGTGTTTTGATTGAAACAGTTGGGAAGGGGGAGGTGATACTGCAGAGTCCTAGCCTTCCCTGGGTACCACCATTGAACTCATGGACTACACACCAGGCAGGGCTAGTCCACATCTCTGCAGGGACTCAGCCTTCCCTTTGTGTGTGAATGGTGGCTCCAGTGCCAACGCCTCACACCCCCCTGAGTTCAGGGCCCAGCCCTGCTACATTTTGGCTACATGACCTTAGGCCTCAGTTTATCATTTGTGAGATGCACATATGGTCACCCAGCCACCTGTGGAAGCTGAAGATGAAATGCAAAATATGTAAGTTCGGTGGAGTTTTTGTTTTTATTTCTTTAGTCTTTGTCTTTTTACTCCAGAACAGTGATTCCCAACAGGGTGATTTTGTCCCCCAGGAGACATCTGACAATGTCTAGAGAATTTTTGGTTGCTGAAACTGTGGGGAGGGGAAACTTCTGGTATCTAGTGGGTGGAGGCCAAGGATGCTGTTACATATCCTACAGTGTACAGGACAGTCCCCATGACAAAGAGTGATCCATCCTAAAATGTCAGTAGTGCCATGGCAGAAAAATCTCTGTCCTGGAGTCCATGAGGCACTGGAATGAGATGCTGGAAAGTTCTTTCATTTATAAAGATCTATATCTGACAGGAGATATTCACAACATATTAAACGATGTAATGTAAAGATATTTTTATATTTTTGTATTATAGATTATACTGTTGTCTTAAAAATATATATCTATATATGCTCATATGCCTAGAAAAAGCCTGACAGGATATAAATAGAAATGGTGAGTGATGTTTATGGGTGACTTTTGTTTTCTTTGTACCTTTCTGTATTGTGATTTTTTAAAAATGGTGATCTGGTATTCTTTTATAATCAGAAAAGACCAGTAAAGCCATTTGCCTTTAATGAGAGGAATTTGGGGCTGGCCACAAATAAAGCTGGTCTGTTTCTTCTCTAGGTGGCCTGGGCCTCTCTAACACCATGTACGCGCGGCTAGGGGAGATTATCAGCCTGGACTATTCAATCGCTGTGACCCTGGCAGCACACCAGGCTATCGGCCTCAAGGTCAAGTATCTTGATATGCTTTCTGTGACTCCAGAAGACCTTCAGGAAGTGAATTGTGCTTGCTTACTGTCTCAGGGTCTTGGAGGGGACCTAGCCTGCTCCTGTGCCCTTGCCTGCAGTTGCTAATCTGCACACATCCTCTCAGCCTGCTGCATAGTGCTCAGTCCCTACACAAGCAGCAGCTCTCTGATCACACTGTTCCTCCCCTTTGAATCCTCCTCCTGCCCCCATTGCTTTTGACCTGTCCTTGGAGGCCGAGGCTGCTTTCATGGAGCCTGCCTTCACCTCAGGCTGGGTGTGAGCCTCCCCCATGGAGCCCTTGTGTCACTCACTTAGGGCCTGAGCATGTCCTCCCCGCTGTTGTTGCACGTCTCCCTCACCTACTGGGCTCGGCGCATTTCATGGCAGGTCCAGGGTCACACCATTCTTATCAACAGTCCAATTACTCTGGCTGCCTCTGCTCAGTGTAGAAACCAAAATGAGCTGAGTGCGCAGCATACCTGGCTCCCTCACTCCAAGGGTGTGTGCTGCCAGCAGTCACCTTGTGGGAAGAGTGGGTGGGAAGGAGGTGGGACAGTTCTGACATTGATGAACACCTCTTTTATGCCAGGTATGGCTCTAGCTTTCCCACCTCTTCATGTTTTTTCATCTAAACCACTCCTCCAGTGGGTAGGATTATCCCCTGTGTGTAGGTAAGGAGATGGAGGCTCAGAGAAGGGACATCCCTTACCCAAGACCATCCAGCCAGGAAACAGAAGCTGTCATGAAAATCCTTGAGTCTGACCCCAAAGCTCTGCTGGGCCTCCATGCCCAGGCCAAACTGGAGTGTGCACTTCAGGGTGGGTGGGTCCTTAGCAGTCTGGCTCCCAATACTTTCCAGCAGCTCTGACTCAGGGTGTTTCCTCTTGTGTGAAGTATTTCTATCGGAAGCCATGTTCTGCAAGCGTATTTCACAGTCCTCTCTCCCCACAGCTAAACTCAACCTGTGTGTGTCTTGTTTAGGGGATTATCTTGGCCGGCAGTGAGGAGCAGAAGGCCAAATACCTGCCCAAACTGGCATCTGGGGAGCACATTGCCGCCTTCTGCCTGACAGAGCCAGCCAGGTCTGCGGGGTATGAGTTGCCCTGGAACAGAATATTCCAGGGTACACTGGGAGGAGGGCTGTGGTTTTTGCTAAATAGGTGGTGACTTTTATTTCTTCTGTCTCTGAAATCTTCCAAGAGTCAACTCAGCAACTTTTCTTTCCAGTTCTCTTTATTTTTCTGTCCGGTGAGAGCTATAAGTGAGATAATATACACCTAGTAAATAATTGTTTTGTGGTTTGCAACACCTGCGTTCAACTTTCAGCGTATGGAGGGTGGGTGGTAGTGTCCCTGTTTTACAGTTCAGTGAGGTATGACAAGCTCAGGGTCACACAGCTGGGATATAGCAAGGCTTGGCACAGGGCCAGAACTTCTGATGACAAGTCTGTTCTTGGACCGCACTTCGTCTCGCTTCCCTCCACCTGGGACTCTGGGGTGCCCTGAGCGCGTCCTCACAGGAGTTTAGATGAATCTATTTTGAGCACACATTTTCATGTTTAAACCTAAGCTCACTTTTTTTTCACTGCCACTTTTTTATCTGATGTGATAAACGAGGGGTTGGCCACATCCAGCCTGCCACCTGTTGTGTGTTTGTATTGTTTTTGGTAATCCTCACCTGAGGATGATTTTTCTACTGATTTTTAGAGAGTGGAAGGGAGGGGGAGAGAAGGAGAGAGTGTGTGAGAATGAATCATTGATGTGAGAGACACATTGATTGGTTGCCTCCCAACTGGGGCCAGGGATCGAACCTGTAACTCAGGTATGTGCCCTTGACAGGGAATCGAATCCATGACCCTTTGTGGTGTGCAGGCTGACGCTGTAACCACTGAGCAGTGCCAGCTAGGTCCTGCCACTGGTTTTTGTAAAGAAGGTGTTACTGGAACACGCCTGTTTATTTACAAATTGTCTGTGATGCCTTCATGCCACTGTGGCAGAATTGAGGAGTTGGGACAGGTATCCTCCTCTAGCCTGAAAGGCTGAATATATTTATAATCTGGCCCTTTATTTTATATTATTTTTTATTTTATTTTATTTATGTTTTAAAATATGTCTTTATTGACTTCAGAGAGAGGAAGGGAGAGGGAGAGAGAGAGAAACAACAATGATAAGAGAGTCATTGATCAGCTGCCTCCTGCATGGGAAGGAGCCCACAACCCTGGTGTGTGCCCTGACCAGGAATCGAACCGGTCATCTGGATCATAGGTCGCTGCTCAACCACTGAGCCACACTCGCCGGGCTGACCCTTTGTTTTTAAGTTTGCCAACTCCTATATTAAAGTAAAAACCTTTATTTTGGGACTTTCCAAACTATTCTTCTTGATTTCCAGCATTACTTTCCTCAACAGCCTATTTCTGTCCCTGCAGTGGGAGCGATGCTGCCTCCATCCAGACCAGGGCCTTGTTAACTGAGGATAAGAAGCACTACATCCTGAACGGCTCCAAGGTACAGCTCCATGGCCTCCCCTGGCCTCCACCATGACCTTCACCACCACTCACTGACCACTTCCATGTGCCAGGGACTGCAAAGGGCGCACACATCATCTTTTGACCTTCACCTTTTGGGTAGATACTACTTTCTTTTCTGGGAAGAAGACATCCTGTGCTTAGAAGTAGGGCCAGGATTAGAACAGAGGAGTTCTGGCTCCGTAGTCTACATGCTTCCAGAGCACCAACTACCTCCCTGAGCTGCTGTTGGGTGTTTGTTTAAAAAAAAAATTTATTATGCAAAATTTGAAACATACAAAAGGTCAGTACAGTGAACTTCTATGTACCTGTCACCCAGCTCCAGCAATTGCTAGCTGTTAGCCAGTCCTGTTTCTCTGTCAGCATCGCCACCTCTAGATTGCATCCATACTTGTTTCAGGTCGTATGTCTAAAAGGCAGACCATTACAAAGTTATAATACCATTTATCACATTTAAAAATATTTATAATTTCTTACTATCTGGTCAGCATTCAGTTTTCTCTGATTATCTCATACCTTTTTATATTTCAAACCATTTGCTTGAATTAAGATCCAGATAAGTTCCATACGTTGCAGTTTGCTGAGAAGTCTCCGTCTTTACCTCTCCCTTCCTCTCTTCCTCCCCATCTTCTGGCTCCTTTCTGTCCCGTCCCCCTTTCTTGAGGAAACCTTTTTGTTTAGTGCGAGGGCTTGAACTATCTTAGTACCATTGGCTGCTCTTCTGCACCCCCCCTCCCCCCCCCACACACACACTCACACCCATGGCTACTTATGTCTCTTGGGAAAATCTTTGCTCTGGAGAGACTGGGTTGAACCTCTGTCTTCTGTTCATGCAGGTGACCTCCCCAGAGCCAACGGCTTTACATGCGAGCCTGAAATTTGATGGGTAGCTGAAGTGTCTAGTGGCAGAGATGGGGCTTAGAAGTGGCTCATGATAGTTTGGTTTTCTCCAAATTTCTTTCATTTTCCTTCAGGTCTGGATCACCAATGGAGGACTTGCCAATATCTTTACAGTGTTTGCTAAGACCAACGTTGTTGATTCTGACAGCTCAGTAAAAGACAAAATGACAGCATTTATAGTAGAGAGAGACTTTGGTGGAATCACTAACGGGAAGCCTGAGGATAAGTTGGGTATCCGCGGCTCCAACAGTAAGTGTGTGTATGTGTGTATGTGAGAGAGAGAGAGAGAGAGAGAGACCCTTTAGCCTCATCTGAGTGCCAAGATAAAATGAGATTTAAGTAGTTTTGATTGTACGTAAGCATTTTAGCAACATTAAATTAAGAATGCCACAATGGCTGTTGTAATAATGCTGTAGTGAACATAGGGGTGCATATATCTGTTCGAATTAGTGTTCTTGTTTCTTTCAACAAATACCCAGAAGTGTAATTCCTGGGTCATAGGGTAGTTCTGTTTTCAGTTTCTGAGGAATTGCCCCACTGTTTCCCACGGGGCTGCACCAGTTTACATTCCTACTAGTAGCGAACCAGGGTTTCCTTTTCTCCACATTCTCACAGCACTTAGTTGTTGACTTTTTATAACAGCCATTCTGACTGGTGTGAGGTGATATCTAATTGTGGTTTTGATTTGCATTTCCCTGGTGACTAGTGATATTGAGCATCTTTTCTCTGTATGTTCTTATTGGAGAAATATCTTATTTTCTTTGCCTATTTTTCTATCAGATTATTTTTTGTGATTGAGTTGTATGAATTTCATACATATTTTTTATATCAACCCCTTATCATTTGCAAATATATTTTCCCATTCAGTAGATTGTCTTCTTGTTTTGTTGAAGGTTTCCCTCACTGTGCAGAAGCCTTTTAGTCTGATGTGGTCCCATTTGTTTACTTTTTGCTTTTGTTTCCCCTGCTCAAGGGGTGGTATCCAAAAAGATATTACTCAGACTGATCTCAGTTTGTTTCCTATGTTTTATTATAGGAGGTTTCAGTCTTTAACCATTTTGAATTTATTTATTTATTTATTGGTTTTCCTTACTTATTTTTTTTTATCCTCTCCCAAGGATATTTTTCCATCGATTTTTAGAGAGTGGAAGGTGCAGGGGTGGAGAGAAACATCACTGTGAGGAACACAACCGTTGGTTGCCTCCCACATGCACCTGACTGAGCCTACAGTCTGGGTGTGTGCCCTTGGCAGGAACCAAATCCGTGATCCTTTGGTGCAGGGGCCCATGCTCTGTCCACTGAGCCACACCGGCCAGGGCTTGAGTTTATTCTTATATATGATGTGAGAAAGTGGTCCAATTTCACCTTTTTGCGTTATCTGTCCAGTTTTTCCAACACCATTTGATGAATAGACTGTCGTTACTCCGTTGTGTATTTTTACTTCCCTTGTCATAGATTAGTTGACTGTATAAATGAATTGATTTCTGAGCCCTCTGTTCTTTTCCACTGATTTATGTGTCTGTTTTTCTGCCAGTACCATACTGTTTTGATTATTACACCTTGCCAGTGTAGTTGGAGATCAGGGAGCGTGATACCAGGAACTGTGTTCTTCTTACTCAAGATTGATTTGACTTTTGGGGTTTTTTGTTGTTCCATATAAATTTTAGGATTGTTTGTTCTGGTTCTGAAAAGAATGACTGTGCACCACTATATTCATTGCAACATTGTTTACAATAGCCAATATATGGAAGCAGCCTAAGTTTCCATCAGTAGATGAGTGGGTAAAGATGTGGTGTGTATATATGTGGAATCGTAAACAGCAATAAAAAGAATGAAACCTTTCCATTTAAACAACATGGATTGATCTAGAGGGTATTATGCCAAGTGAAATAAGTGAGGCATAGAAAGACAAATACCAAGTGATTTCATTTATATGTGAAGTCTAAAAAAATAAAAGAAATGGAAAAACAAAACAAAAACAGACTCATAGAAATAGAGACGAAAGATGTGTTAACAGAGGGAGAGGACTAGAGGATGAGTGAAAAGGGGAAGGGAAATACAGTCAGTAATGTGACAATTTTGCACAAATGATTAGGAGAGTTGGTGTGATGATTACATTGTAAGTTAAAAAATGTTGAATCACTATATTGTCCACCTGAAACTAATATAACCAATATAATACTGTATACCAACTATATTTAAATTAAAAAAAGAATGCCACAGTGACTGTGTACCGTTCCATTTGCTGAGCATCAATGATTTCAAGATTAGTGGAACAGTTACAGTCTTGTGGAGCTCTCAGCCTTGAGGGCTCCACAAGACTGGAGGGAGGCATAGTGGATACAAGAAGGGCAGTGGGTGTCCTAGGTAAACATTCCATTACAAGAGACCCTTTATTCCCTGCCTGGAACTTTCTCCCTTCTCTCAATTCCCTTTCTACCTGTCCAGACTTGCTTGTAGCCCCTGGTGAGCACTTGGTTTACTGAGGCTGGGTCTTGTGAGTGGCTCTCAGGATGCAATGGAGTCCTCACAGGACTCTACCTTGTGGGTCTCCTACTTCAGATCATGGAGAGTATGTGCTGCAGGGTACTGCATGCTGCTCTGGCACCTCCAGACCCACTTCTGTTTGCCACCTTGTCTTAGGGACCCTGTGTTCTGAATGGTGGTCTTTTCCATGACATCTGCTTGTCCTGGGGTGGGGGGAGTGTCAGAGGTCCCGAGCTCTAGCCTGGCTCTGGCACGTAGAAGCTTTGTGACCTGGAACAAGCTAGTTTGCTCTTCTTCAGTTCCCTCACCTAAACGAAAGGGATGGTAATAGAACCTTGTGGAGGTGACATGAGAAGGGACTGTTACGATGTATGTAAATGCTGAGTGTACATGGAAGCTGGAGATGCTGGTGGTTGCTGTTATGACATTACCACCATGACTGGTGCTGCCTGTGAGTAATGAATGTTCTAACAGAGCAAGGAGCAGATACAAAGGCCCTGAGATAAGAAAGCTCAGTGTGCTGGTGGGGAAGAAGTAGCCAGAGTGACCACCAGGGTGGAGGGAGAGAGCAGGGCTGCCACTGTGCACTACTGTGCGGGACTGTCCGTACTGAAGTCTAGGTAGGTGGTGCCCACTGGGATTATGCCGTGGCTCTGTGAGAGGGGATTGGGTGGCAGAAGATGAGGTCAGAGAGGGAAGAAAGGTCCTCCCCACACTCAGCAGCCTGTGAAGGATCAAGAGCTGTTAGGAGAAAGGCCTGGGCCTCACAGCCCATGTGCTTAAGCCATACATGAGACCCAGTGGCCAGAGAGATGTGTATTTCATCATATTTTACCAGCAGGGTGTTTGAACACAGCTGTGATCATAGAATAGAAGGTTAGCAGACCTGGTTGCCCACACTGGGTTTGGGTGCTGCTTGGGTTTTGAGCCATTACTTCCCTGTCCCGAGCCTGCCTTTTCTCCAGCATTAGTTGCTGGGAGCTATCGTTTCTTTATGATATAACATACAGAATCCCACTGTTACAGAGAACACAGTAGAGAAGCCTCTGTGCCTTTCCTGCCTCTCCCCTCACCCCTGCCATGCTTACCCTGACTGTTCTCTCCACATTGCCCTCTAGTTCCTTCAACACGCCAGGTGCGTCCTCACTGTAAGGTCTGCTAGTCATTCATTGCTGCAGTAACTCACCTGAGAAACCACCCAGGACTCGGCATTTATTTCTCTCCTGTAGTTCCCAGGTGCTGTGTGTTGGGTTCAGGCATGCCATATGTTTTCTTGAATGTGGTGGAGCGAGTTCTCACAGCAGATCCTAAGAGCGCAAGTGGCCAAGCCAGACTGGATCAACACAGCGGGTGCCTCTCTGCTTGTGCTGGATGGGCTCCGTGCCCCTAGCCACAGCAAGTCACATGGCCAAGCCTGGCAATGTGGGTAGGGAGAGGCAAATCTCCTTCCACAGAGCCACAGTGCAGGGTTTGCTGCATTAAAGCATAGTGAAATGGGACCGACATTCCCCCTTGCAGTGGGGGCCTTAGGAAGTGCTGCGCTGCCTGGTTTCTTTGTTCTGTCTCAGTCTCTTTCTCATCCTTCAGATCGCACCTTAGAAAAGTCTAACATAAACCCTTAGTAAAAATAGGGTTACCCACTCCCCTCCAACCTGTCCCTGTGCTAGATGTATTTCATCCGTCGCACTTTACACAGTGCTGTAACATCTTGTTCATAGCTTATCTCCCTGACTAAAGTGTGAACTCCACATGGGCAGAAACCTTGTCTTTCTTTACTGTCCTATCAGTAGATGTAGAGTGAATGAATGAGTGAATTGCATTTCATGCCTGTGGGTAAGTGCAGAGTAGTTTGCATTTAAGGTCTTTAATTTCATGTGTTTCAGCTTGTGAAGTCCATTTTGAAAACACCATGGTGCCCGTTGAAAATGTTCTGGGAGAAGTTGGAGGTGGGTTTAAGGTGAGTTGCCAGCAGCAGCCCCTGTGACTGCTGTGTGGTTTCATGGTGCAGTTTGTTGGCCCCAGCTTTCTGTCTCACCCCTGCTTATAGAAGACCAGCCTGTGCTGGCCAGGTGACCATGTATGGTTCTCCATTGGGAAATCAGCATAGTGGAAAAGGGAAAAATTGGTTCCTGGAAGAGGGAGTGTGTGGTTAGAACTAGGTCCCTTCATTAATCTGTGAGGCTTTGTTTGCCTTGAGTAAGGACAGGACTCTTCCTTAGCAAGCATCAGAAAGCAGGCACTGGGGGAGCACAGGCTCTTTTAATGCATAACCCTGTTTGTTTGCTTGTTTGTTTTGAGTCAGATTTATTATTTTTATTGACAGATAATTCATGTAACATAAAATTCACCCTTTTCAATTGTACACATTGGTTGTTTTTAGTATATTTGCTATGTTGTGCAATCATCACCATGGTCTAATTCCAGAACATTTCCATCACCCCAGAAAAAATGTGCCATCCCTCTTGTTTCCACTTCCCCCCATCCCTTCGCAATCACTATTTCAATTTCTGTTTTTATGGATTTGCCTATTTTGAACATACCATGTAAACGTAATCTATATGTGGCCTTTTGTGTTTGACTTCTTTCATGTAGCATTATATTTTCAAAGTTTATCCAAGTGGTAGCATTTATCATTCCTTTTAAAGGCTGAATAATATTCCATTGTGTGTATAGAACGCACTTTTTTATTCATTTATCGGCTGATGGTCATTTGTATTATTTCCACCTCATGGCCATTATCAGTAATGCTGCCGTGAACATTTGTGTACAAGTTTTTGTGTAAACAATATGTTTTCAGTTCTTTTGGGTATTAACCAGAAGTGAAATTTCTGGGTCACATGGTGACTGTATGTTTAACTGTTTGAGGAACTGCCAGGCTATTTTCCACAGTGGCTGCACCACTTTACATTCCCATGATCAGTGTATGAGGGTTCTTGTCTCTGCACATCCTCACCAACACTTGTTATTGTCCATTTTAAAAATGAAAGCCATCCTCGTGTGTGTGAAGTCATATCTCATTGTGATTTGGTTTGCATTTCCCTAATGACTAATGTAGCATCTTTTCATGTGTTTATTTGCCGTTTGTGGTATCTTTGGAGAAATGTCTTTTCAAATCCATTGCCCATTTTTAAATATTTTTTTTTGTTGCCCTGTCCTAATTTACTGGATCCCCTAGGTAAGTATCTCATATCCCGGTGAACTCCTCCCCCTGGCTGTGAAGCAGGGAACAAAGCAGTGCCTTCAGCCAGCACTCCTGTCCCAGTGCAGCTTGGTGCCTGCCGAACCTAGGGTGGTAGAGGCGGAAGGACTGGCATGGAGCAGCAGTCTGTGTGCAGTGATAGGTGTGATTGTTATTCAGCTCACCCAGAAGATACGCAAATTAGACCATATAGATAAAGGAACAAAATGAACCCCCTGAAATCTGTCTCCAAGAGAGTTGGCATTCATTGTTCACGCTTTCTCTGCAGGTGGCCATGAACATCCTCAACAGTGGGCGGTTCAGCATGGGCAGCGCTGTGGCTGGAATGCTCAAGAAATTAATCGGTAGGTAAGTCAGGGACAGGAGCCCCCTGCAGTGCAGACTTGCCCCTGCTGCCTCCACTCCAGCCTGGAGGCTCTGTCATATGTTCAGGGCAGGCTGGTGCTGAGCCAGGCCACCTGGGCAAACGTTCTCACTTAAGTTTAGGACCTGGGCTTTGGTTTAGATCAGAGAATGTATTCGGTCTGTCCCCAAAGGGTGAGTGTTCATGTTTCAGCACTCCTCTCCTTTACATGCTCACAGGGTGGGAGGAGGCTGTGGACATTCCGTCAGAGATGGAGATGGGCAGCTGCTCTGACCACTAAGAGCGGAGCTGCTTAGCGAGCATCCACGTGTGAGCAGACAGCTGTGAATGTCAGCTCTAGTCTCCCAGTGCTGCCCTGTAGGCGGCTCTTCACAGTGGGTGGGCGCAGGACTGGGGTCAGAGCCCTGGCCTCAGCCTCTCGACCCTCCTGTGTTCCTCTGGCAGGGCCCCTGAAATCTGGACTTTCCTCTGCCAGTGAACTTGAAATAGTCCTAAGGGCTTCTGCTGGGCACAGAACATCGTTACTATGTTAGCATTGTGGGAAATTCAGGGGGCCCTGGCTGCGGATGGTGGATTTCCCAGGGGCCGCATACCACTGAGTGCTTACGAAGTTCTTCAGAGTTTAGGGTACAGTGGGAACAGGAAGGCTCTGGTTTAGGGTCTTACCTCCTTTTTATAGATGAAGAGACTGATGCTCAGAGAGGGTAAGGGTTTTTCCCAAGGGCATGCACCTGGGCCTAAAAGCTGACTCAGACTCCAAGCTCAGGGCTTGTCTCACTCTGCCCAGCTGCTCCCAAGACCCTAAAGCCCTCTGGACTTCTTTCCCATCTGGAAATTCCTCAGTACAAGAACTTTGTGGGGGTGCTCATGGCAGCCTCTCCCCAGAGGATGCAGAATGTGGGTGCCTTTTTACCTTATAGGCCCACCATGGGGAGCAGTTTGATTGGATCATACCTATGGAAATGTTTGGAGAACACTGTCCATAGGGGGCAGGGGGTTGCTGACTGTGTGGGATGCTGCCGTATTCATTTGGGTGTCTTCAGTGCTGGCCCCATGACACAGTTTGTGTTCACAGCTGTTCAGTTTGAAGCTGTAGGCCCGAGTTTTCAAAACAGACTGCCTTCCTGCTTTGGTGATGGACAGCTGTGAAGGTGTGCGCCAGCCCCTACTTCTGTCTAGGGTGTTTCTAGATAGGGGGCCGGACTTGGTGCTAGGCGCCTTCCACCTGAATCGTGTGTAATCTTCACAACAACTCTGAAGTTGGTGGGATTGTTCAGGGAGGTAAAGTCGCTTGTCCCCAGCTACCAGCTGGTAAGAAAAAGTAGCAGGTTGAAACCTGTGTCTGACTTCAAACTCTGTGCTTCCACGTCTGTCCAACGCTGTTGGCACCCCTGGGAGTGGATACACCCTCCTCCCACCTCGACTCACTAGGAAGCAGGGGCTCTGTCTTTCAGGGCTCAGTCTCTGCACACGCATTTCACGTAGCTCCTGCCAGAGTGTTTGAAAGGTGGTGATGGTAGCCTTAGGAAATCATCTTAGGATAACCAGAAAATGGTGCTTTTTAAACACTTTGCTCTTCCTCTCAGAAATGACTGCTGAATATGCCTGCACGAGGAAACAGTTCAACAGGCACCTCAGTGAATTTGGATTAATTCAGGTACTGAAGGTTGTATAAGTGGCACGTGTTTTGATCTCACTATGTGAGCATTTAGTGTCTTTCATTTTCTGTACTGGTGACTCCTGTGCAGTGACTGGGGAGAGGACGAAGCCTGATTGAATGTGACACCCTTTTGTGAATGCTTGGGCTAGGCTCTCTTGTGCAGTGCAAGGCTTTGGACTTAATTACCTTCTCTGCTGGTTGGCAGATTTGGTTCTCAGCACGTATAAAATGCTTCTTGATTGTTTTTTCCCTTTTTTCCCCCTAAATGCTCCAGGAAAAGTTTGCCTTGATGGCTCAGAAGGCTTATGTAATGGAAAGTATGGCCTACCTCACAGCGGGGATGCTGGACCAACCAGGGTTTCCTGACTGCTCCATCGAGGCTGCCATGGTGAAGGTAACCCCAGCACAGCCAGAGGGAGCTGAGAAAAGCTGCCTACTACTGTTGGTCAGTGTGGTCAAGGAAGGAAAAGGACTTGCCTGAGGTTGCTCAGTGAGACTGTGACAATCAGAGCTCGTGCCTGGCTCGGTCTCATCTCAAAGCCCAGTTCTCTGTCAAGCCTCCCATTCCATCCCCAGCCGCTCTGCCCCTGTTCTGAGGTCCTCCTTTTGGAAGGGAGTTGGTACTAATGACCTTGTGCTGGTCTTCTCCTATGCCTGTGGCAGGTGTTCAGCTCAGAGGGTGCCTGGCAATGCGTGAGTGAGGCGCTGCAGATCCTTGGAGGCTCGGGCTACATGAGGGACTACCCATATGAGCGCATGCTGCGTGACACCCGCATCCTGCTTATCTTTGAGGTGCGTGCCCTGCTGCCAGCTCCGCCTTGCTCTGCCGTGGACCTCCTGAGCCTCCTGGTTTTGGGGCCAGACTGGCTTGTGCACTCTCTCCTCCTTACAACCCTGCCTAGACCCGTTTCTGCTGATGAGGAAGACGAGGCTGAGAGGCCAAGCCACTCACTCAGGGTCTCACTTCCAAGGGTCCTTTCTGCTGAGCCCACCACCTCTTGACAACCTACCGCAGGTCTTTGCCAAGTTGCTTCTGTCAGCTGTGGTGGGACAAGCAGAGATCTTCTCATAGGACGCCTAGGTTGTGCCTTGAATGCTCTGCCTGGGTCTGGGTTTTCTTCTTAGTATATTGAGGGAGCTTAAGAGGATCATCTCTGAGGGCTTTCCCAGCCCGACAGTTCTCCCTCTCTAATTGCTGCCCCCCATGAGTATAAGGTGCTGGGAGGGACCTGGGTGGGGAAGAAAGGGGCGTTGGGGCCAGAGAAACACCTCAGATACCATCCCACCTTTGGGGTGCTAGTGATCTTGATTGTGTGGACTGACTGACCTCAGAGGAAACAGGAATACCAGGGAGTGAGGGACAGAGGTGCACCTCTCCTGAGGGGACTGAAGTCTTATGAAGCAAGTGCAAGTGCACTTGGCCCTTAGAGGCAGAAAGGACTTAGATCAGGCCTAGGGGTGGGCTGTATGGGTCAAGCACAGGGACGTAGAACATGCTAGGCCCAGTCAGGACCTCACCTCTGAGCTCTAGGCGAATGGGGTAAAATAAGCCAGTTGTGGTGGCGCTGGGGCAGGCGATGGAGTAAGTGAGGGGACGGAAGGGGAGACAAGGAGCCAGGTTGTACAGGACCTTGGCTCTTACTCTGAGGGCAGTGAATCTATAAAAAGCCCTCCTCAAATAGCTTCCTCAGTGTGGGTGGGCAGTGGCACAGTCCATCCAGTCACACATGCTGTACTGCTGGGGCTAGATTCTTTGGGGTAGCTTTTGACCTCTGTACTGCTGGCCACAGGGAACCAATGAGATTCTCCGGATGTACATCGCCCTGACGGGCCTGCAGCACGCTGGCCGCATCCTGACTGCAAGGATCAAGTAGGTACCATTACTATTCTCTGCTCCTCAGATCCCACCTGGAAAAACAAGGGGGTGGGCAGTGTAGCTCTGTAGAGCCGAGCCCATTCACTGACTGGCTGAAGGAAGGGGAGGTGGACAGGAGCCTTGGCCAGTGAGTGTTGGGCCTTGAAAGCTGGGCTCAGAGCATGGCCTTTACCGGAGGGTGATAAGAAGGGTCAGCTGCTCAGGGAAGCCCTCACTGCCCTGCACATTGGTTCCCTCCCCTGACGGTTCCTGTTTCCCATGCTGCAGGGAGCTGTGTTTCCAGAATCTGCGAACGAGAGGTACCCCTAAACACGTGTCAGGCCCCAAGACCAACACAAAACCAATTTGTTTCCCCTGCCCTTGCTCCCCTCCCTTATTCCCCTCAGTCGCCGTCCTGGGGCCCAGGCAATTGAAACCACTGCTGGAGCCGAGACTAGGCTGTTTAGAGCTTGCTCCAGAGTACTTCACAGGGAAGAACTGCCTGGAAACTGGCTGTGACTCAGCTCCCTGTGGTGGGAGCACACCACCGAGGAGCCTGGCTGCCCTCTGATAGGCTGACAGGGCTTGGCCTGCAGCCAGGTGTCCCACAAGCCCAGACTGGGGGAAGGTCACATCGGGCCTGGGTTGGCCCTTTATGGCTTTGCATGGCAGGGAGAAGGAATGAGTGCCTTAGAGCTCTGGGGTACCTATTGGTGGGGGTTTTGTTACTGGACAGTGGGAGGAACAGGAAGGCGTCAGGTCATGGAGCCGTGGGCTTTCTGCAGTGAACTTAAACGGGGCAACGTGACCACTGTCCTGGAGACTGTTGGCCGGAGGCTTCGGGACTCCTTGGGTCGAACTGTGGACCTGGGACTGACAGGGAAACTTGGAGTTGTGCACCCCAGTGTTGTGGTGAGTGAGCCCATCAGGTGTAGCCTGTCGGATATCTCCTTCCCAGAAGGGATATGACCGGGGTGTTGGGAGGACCAGCCAGCCCTGAGGGACAGCTGATATCCCATCTCCACCTGTTACAATGGGGAGCAGCGTGCTTGTTAGTCAGGCCTGGGTCCTGGAGCCTTGCCATGCCCTGTGCCAGTGGGAAGGATGGGCACCATGGGGAGGAGGTGCTGAGCTGAGTCCTTTCCTGTGGCTTGCAGGACAGTGCCAGGAAGCTCGAGGAGAATGTGTATTACTTTGGACGCACTGTAGAGACATTGCTACTCCGCTTTGGCAAGGTAGTTGGGCCCCTGCCAGACCTGGGGGTGGCAGGCCCTCCAACTTGGGGTCAGGGAGGTGGGGCCAGCATCTGTGAGATGATGTTTTACCAAGTCTCCACCTTTAGAACCAGGCTTAGGAAGAAATCTTACTGTGGAGGGTGGGATAGGGAGGCAAGGCTGGCTGTGGCTGTCTGCCCAGGGACCACTCAGCTAGTGGGGTGGGAGCCTCTGCTGGGTAAACACCTTCCAGGTGAAGAAAGGCTCCCTGCATTTGGAATGGGCAGCCCCAGCATGGCCTGAATCTCAGGACCTGATCTCTGAGGCTCTTGCTGCTGAGGCTGTATTAAGCCCTGGCCTCTCATCTCAGCCAGGCTCCTGGGACCTGGTCTTGCCTTGACCCTTGCCCAAACCTAGACAGAGTAAATGGAAAACAGTAGGCTACTGTGAGCCAACTTCTCACAATCTTGAGGCATAAAGTGAGGCTCGGAGATCGGTGAAGATGTGCCCAGAGAGGGACCCTGTGTGTGGGGAGGTAGGAGGGGGCGGGGTAGCAGGTAATGGGCCTCCACCCTGGGCCTCTGTGTTCCCAGACCATTGTGGAGGAGCAGATGGTTTTGAAGCGGGTGGCCAACATCCTCATCAACCTGTATGGCATGACGGCTGTGCTGTCTCGGGCCAGCCGCTCCATGCGGGCAGGACTCCGGAACCATGACCACGAGGTGAGCCACCCTGCCCTGCCCTGTCCTGCTAAGCCGCACAGGGCACCTCCCATGGGCTTCGTCCTGTTGCACTTTAATGAGGCCTGGTGCTTGGGGGATGGGGTCATTGGGTGGCATGGCCCAATTGAGGAGTATCAAGTGGGAGGGGCTGGGCAAGTCAAGGGCCTTGGCACCCAGTTGTGGTCCCAGAGAGGGGGAGTGAAGTACATGCCCATGCAGCAGTTGACCTAGACACTGTGGCCTGAGGTGAGCACTGAAGCTCCCATGGGATGGGAGGGTGCATGCTGCTCAGGACACAGGGTCACTGCCTTTCGTTTTGCTACCGGAGACAAAAGGGTGGGTGAATGAGGTGAATGGTAGGGTACCAAACCTAGGGCCCTCACCCTGACTATCTCCACACCCTGCTGGAGAGGTGGATGCAGTCACTGAGTGCCTGCTGGGTATTTGGTCTTTACGTGCATTGACTCACAGTAGCCGGTGGCCACAGGAATTATGATGCCCCTCTAGCAGGGGAGGAAACTGAAGCTCAGAGATGTTAATTTGCCCTTGGGACAGAGCTAGTTTGGCTTATAGCTGAAATTAGAACCTAAGATTGTGTGACTTCTGAGCCAGGTCTCTAGTCCCCGGCCAAGCTGCTTGGTAGTTCTTTGAAGTTTAGGGGTCAGTCACCAGGGAGGGGGAGCCCAATGGCCCAGAGATCCCAGGGTTCTCTCTGACCTCGGTTCTGGCAGGTTCTGTTGGCCAACATCTTCTGCACGGAAGCTTATTCCCAGAATCTCTTCACCTTATCTCAGCTGGACAAGTGTGAGTAGGGTTGCTTGGGGGAGGAAGGAGAGGGTCTGATTCCAGGTGACTGTGGATGGTGAGCTGTTTCTGGACCCTGTCAGGCTCTCATGGTTTGCTGGCTGCTCACAAAAGTCTGCCTTGAGCGAGGGCTGGGGAAGACCTGCACTGACCTGCAGTGAGGCTGGAGCAGGTGCCAAAGCCCCTTTGCAGGCCCTACAGGCATCTGCCCAGGGAAGGTTTACAAAGGAAGGAGTCATTTCCTTTGCCTTTTCACCCCTGCACTGCAGTGGAGATGCAGCTGCCCTTCTTGCAGATGTCCTGGGCTGCTGGCCTAGACCATGCAGGGGTTTTGCCTGTGTTGCTCAGTCTGCTCAGTCCGGAATGCTCTTATGGCCATGTCTTAGAATGTGTAGCGTAAATTCTCCTTCTGACCCCTACAGTCCTGCTGGCCTCAAGGCTTCATGTCGTGTCCCCTACAGAGCCCAGCCCTGTTGCTAAGAGACTGGAGAGGAACACATCATTCTGTGTAGGTCCTGGCTCTGGGTGCTGTCTAGTGTGCTCCACAGTGCTGGCCTGACTGTCCACGTGCTGTGGAGAGAGGAAATGTTTCTCCTGCTGCAATAGGCTTGAATCGCAAAGGGGTCTTTTATTGAGCAAGTGCCTTCTCCTACAAGAGCTGGAGTTTTTAGGGATTAACAGGATGAACCTTTTGTTACTCAGAATGAAGCTCTATCTGTAGCCCAGAATCACTTCCTGGGGGGTTGGAGGGAGCTCCCACAGGCTACTGTTGGAAAAAAATGCTCCAGCAGTATTTCTGTTATCACAGTGCAGAAAGATCACTCACTATCTCTTTTCCTCTCCCAGATTCTCCGGAAAATCTAGATGAACAGATCAAGAAAGTGTCCCAGCAGGTCCTAGAGAGGCGAGCATACATTTGTAGCCACCCTCTGGACCGGACGTCCTGAAGCAGAGGACGGTGGTTCCTGCTGCTGCCAGCCCAGGCCATAGACCATTGCCGGACAACTCTAACTTCTTCCAGAAGGTGTCGAGCTTGGGGCTTTTTCAAGTTGAACTGCGTCTTCCCAGTATTTACCTGAAGGTCTTTCTCCTGGCCTGAGGAAGCCTCTTCTATCTAGGCTTGATCGGTGGGCACTGCTGCCTGACGTGATCATCCCAGGTTCTAAACGGAGGTGGAGGGAGAGGGTGGAGTTGCTGAGACCTGGGATTTGAGTATGTACTATTAGTTTAGGAGACTTCGGAATGGAAACGGGGGCTTGTGTTACTGCCCCTGTGGCATGAGCCTTGGGGGACCTGTTTTGGGCATGGACAGCAGCCATTTCTACTCAACCACACATTCCCCATGAAATAGCCTGAAAGCTGTGTACGTGTCATTCATTCACACTAGGAGCAAAATGTACTTAAAACGTGTACCAGGAACCACTTAACAAAAAGATAATTTAAAATGGCAGTTTGTGTTTGTTCCTCTAGTCATGTTTTTTCTCAGAACCAACCTTTAATGGATGACATCATGACCTTAAGAACCACCCTGCAAGAAGGCCCTGAAGCTGAGGAGCACGTGCCCACTGCAGGGCCATGGGGGTTATGAGCCTGCTGCTTTGATCCTCTGGTGATGGCTGGAAAGCAGCACTGCTTGGACCATGACAGCATACACTTGTTCCCACCTGGACTTTTCTGTCTGTTTTCTTTGCAAGGATTGCCCTCTAGTTTTAAAGTGAGAAGAAAAGGTGTCTTTAGGTGGCACTAACAGGCCTTTGCATTTCTCCAGGCTCCCTTCTGCTGTCACTTCCGGGATGTACTGGGGCCCAGCAAACTGGCTGGTTTCAAGCTTTGGTTCCTGGGTGGTTTGGGGGTCCCTTCCCCCAAAAGCCCAGTCTAGCTGTTGCCTCAAGATGGGAGGAGAAAACCAGGCTCACTTTTCCTCCAAGTGTAAGTCACTGTCTGCTGTGGTGAGAGAAAAAGGCCAAGTAGATTAGGAATGCTGAGACCTGAGCCAGCTCAGGGGCGTTGGCCTGGACATTCTGCCAGGGTTTTGGTAGCTCATCTTCAAAACGTGAAAGTTTACAAATACTGTGACTTTGGAAATAACTTTCCAGTGAAACTCAAAGCTCTTAAGCGTTGGCAAGGAGGCATTTTGCACAAAATGGAGAGTACATATCTTCTCCGTGCTGAAAGGGAGGGCTTGGGAAGCATGCAAACCCCGTCCCCCTCAAGAAAGGTGCTTCACTCTAGGCCTTGTGGCATGGAAGTCCCTGTGAGCAACAGGGGACTCTTTCCTGTTGAGTTTAAAAGGCTTTTCACCTTCCATTTCTGAGTTTTTAAACAGGTTGTAGGGAGGGGAGGGCCCAGCATGCATTTGTTATGTGCTTTCAGCAATATGCACAGGCTAGGACTAATTGGGATGCTCAGGGAACTTGTGCTGGGAAGGCCTGCAGTGGAGCCCACCAGAGCACTCTGGCCAGTGAGGCAAGCGTGGCATTCCTGGGCTGGACCACAGCAGAGACTGAGCTTCTGAGACACCAGCATGTAGCAGGAGATCTTCGCACAGCCCCAGAGACCAGGGCCTATTCTGAAGAAAGGCAGCCAGGTCCAAGTGGGGGGAAAGAGGTTTCAGGAGCTTGTCAGCACTTCCTCCTACTCATAGAGCTATCACTAGCTTCCCTCGGGAGTCAGGGGAGGAAGGAACTCCATCCGGATTTCTGGGAAAGGGTTCTCTGGCAAACCTTGTCATCAGAATACCCATTTCTCTGCACATAAAGATTCTGGGTCTATAAACCAACAAATTTAGGTTCTCTGTCAACCTATAAATGACTTTGAGGTCTTTCTTCATGAAAGAAAGGACTTGGAGGGATTCATGTAGCAAGACCTCATTCTCTCCCCTCGCCCCCAGAGGGAGATGGCAGTGTCTTGAGCTGGAAGGAAGCTGGAAAGTCCCAGCGAAGCCCAGATCCTCTGCATCCAGCTGTTGGCTGGGCCTCCAGAGGCCAGTCATGGGTAGTAACACAGTGTTGAAATTCAGAAAGCCCTTAGATCGTCTTCCAACTTTTCATTTTTCCAACAAACCAGACCCAGAGCAATAAAGGGATCTGCCCAAAGTCACACAGCTGGAACTAGAATCTGGGTCCCCTGAGTTCTAGCCCAGCATTCAATCTGCTACACCAAACCCATTCTGAATCTTGATTTCCTAAATCATGGGTATCTAAACCAAAATGGATACTGCTGAAGAATGAAAGCTGCGCAGAGCTGCATAACAGCAGCATCAGGAGGCTCGGCTTTGCAAAGCTCTTGTCTGCTACCTGTTGCTGGGTTCAGTGCTGGAGAAGCACGCAGCCTGAGGAAAGGCAGTGGTTTCTTGTACAGATGAGAATGCCAGTGGCGCTGGTCCCACTCTCTTGATCCAGCACAGGCTCCCGCACATTAGCAAACTGTTTTCCCTCCACTCCTAAATTGGGAACAATAAGTTAGAAGGAAGTCCCTGTGGACACCCCACTTGAGTCCCTGCTCCTCTGTGGACTTTAGTCACCTCTATAGTGGTGCTAGTGGGCAGCAGCTCCAGGTGATGGTCATTTTCAGTGCTGCTCTTAAGGCCTGTCACTTGGAGTCCACTGGCTATGAGCCCGGCCCAGTGGGTTTTCTTGGCGTTTTTTCTTCTCTTTTTCTGACTCCTGAGACTCCACCATGGCTGAGAGGTAATTCTGTGAATATACGACTTGTCTGGGCTCCTGGAAGGGAGGGGCAAACGTGGATGGAAGGGTGGTGGCAGATCTGGAGAGGGCTGACTGAGCCTCTGGTTTCCAAGTAGGGGTCAGAAAGACTGCGGGTGTAGTGATAGTTCCTGACAAGGGCATTTACATTAACTGAACTGTGCAGCTGCCCTGGAAGGTTCATGTTATTGTGTCTTTTAGAAGCCCTTATGTAAAGTCACTGTGTGTGGAAGCCTTAGCCAAGGCTTTTCCTTTGGGGCGACAGATGCTTTTCAATAAGGAGCAACAAAATACTCTCTAGAGGGGAGGAACCTGCAGTGGCTTGCAGCTGTGAACGTCTGAACATTCACTGAGGACCTCTTGGCTCACCTCTGCATGTGGAGAACTCACTTAGCCCAGGAACAAAACACCTCTCCCAGCACCTGATCCCTTGTCTGCTCCCCCTAGCTGGTTGGCTCTCCATACACGGGAGATTTTGTGCTGACCTCCAGGCAAGATGGTCATAAAGGAAAGTGTGTGTGGGATAAGTCAACTCATTATAACTCTGGACTATAAACATTTGGTTGTTTCCTACTCTCTGAGCCTCTCACTCACCTTGACCATCTCGTGTATCCCCTTCTTTGACAAGCTCTGTGGAATTGAAGATCTGAATACTGCAGTTAGAGACAGCATCTTTGGTAGGGGCTTTGATTCTAAACACCTTCACCACAGACTTTGGAGATTCTTGCTAACCTGGTAGGCTCCCGTGATAGTTTTCTGAAGAAAGAGACAACAGTCATTACACAAGGCCCCTCACTACCTTTTTGTCTTCAGCTCTGGAACTTGGCTCTAGTGCAGGTATTGATTCTTGAATCCTGGAGCTGCCATTTCATCACAGAACCCTGCAAAAGGGCCATCTAGCCCAACCCCTTACTCTCTACAGTGGACCAGAAACTTGACATTTGCCTAAGGTCACTGGAACTGGTACACACAGCTCTTGGCCAGGCCAGGGTTTATGGCTCAGGTGGTCAGAAGTGGAAGAGGCTTGAGGATTCCGTGGTATATACAGGGGAGATTATAAAACTGCCATCCTTGACTATGATTGTGTAAGGAGTCTTTTCTCTCCATAGCCTGAAGATGGTCTGCTGGCTTCCTTTGTGAATAGAGGTGCTGGGACACAAAAAGAGTTTCACACTAATGTTAAGTACTGTGCAACATAGCTTGCTCTTATCTGTCAACCTTAAGCAAAATACGTTTTGCTTAAAAAAATTTTTAACTCAAGATGGTGACTTTGACTCATTTATTAATGTAACTTTTTGTCTTGACTTTGGAACCTTTGAGGAATTTCTGTAAGAGTGCAAAATAGTCAAGGGAAGGAATAAATCTGTGATTTATATACAAAAGAGAAAAGTTGGTGTAGGCAACTAGACCCCTGTGGCTTGGAGCAACAGGGACTGAAGGCAAAGGCAGCCTAAAGGTCATTGGATGAGGGACAAAACTCAGGCCTTCGAGCACCTTTGAGATGATGGTGTTAGAAAGGCCACCTAGTATAGGATCCTGTCATGGCCCACACATAACTTCAATCAGAACATTTAGTATTTTGTCCAGTTTTTGTGGTTATCCTTTGTCAGGGTTGCTCTAAATTAGTCTGTTGTTAATAAAAATAGAAGTCCCTGTTTCTTCCAAATCCTAGAGCAGGTGGATCATAGCCTGGGGAGACAGATTCTTCCTTTCTTGATACTTTTCCCCTAGAGTTTAAAGTCGAAGTTCTGACGAAAAGAGGTTACTTGGTGAAGTAAAAACAGTGGTCAACAGTTCTGGGTGCCTGGGATTCTCTGCTCTGAGGCTGATCTGCCTGTGTATCTGGGGAATTTGGACTCAGCCAAAGTAACTAGATGCCTGAGAAGTATATACAATATTAAAGAAAGACCACAAACTGAACAACTGAAGCTAAATTAATTATTCTTAAAAGATGTGAATGAATATATTAGCAGTTGAAGCAGAATTAAGACCGAAGAAAAAGAAATATTGGGTGTAAAAACATTAAAGGTGAAATAAAGGACACAAATAAGTGAGATATACTGCAGAAATAACAGCTGTGGAATGAATTAGTGAACTGAAACATCAGCTCTAGGTATGCTCCCAGAAGGCAGCCCTGTACAAAGAGAAAATTAGAAAACCCGAGTTTAGGGAATGGAAATAGAAGTAGCAGAACCTACACACATACCCAAAAGAAGCGGAAAGTGAGAATAGAAAATTTTGAAGAAAGAATGTGAGAATGTAAAGGAAATTCCAAGCTGGACACATCATTAGATTTAAAACAACAAAGGCAAAGTTTGATTAACATCAGGTTCCACGACAGCGGTGCTGTAAACAAGGACTTGAACCTGCAGTTTTATATCCAGCTTAACCCAAGAAAGTTGATTCAAAGACATTGCTTTGAAAATATACTTGGAAGAAAATTCAAAATGGAGGAGAAAAACCCAGAACTATTTAAAGTTAACAATTGTCAGTTTTCAGTATCCTAGTGAAGTTCTCTTGTCTAAAAAGAACCAGGGAAATATAACAACCTAGAACTGAAATTCTAGAGACATATAACAGGGCT